CACATACACAAAAAAATCATGGGAGTTGTGACTTGGTAGGAGAGCACTTACTCAGCATGCACATTCTTGTGTGCCAGGAGACACCACAACAGGGTGGCCAAACAGAGTCCCTGTCATCCACCAGGACCACACACCAACAGTCACTCACGACCCTCCCTTTCCTCCCCCCATATTCAGCCTCTCTTGAAGTTTTGCCAATTCAGCCTATATCTTTTTAAAAATCAGACTTTAGCTCCAGCAGCAGCAGCCCAGCCTATTTCCTCCAGCCAAGAGAGTTATCCCCAAATTGTCTCTTGGGATCTAAACTCCCCTCTCCCAGTGTGTGTTGTGAAGAGTTCACTTTGCTAGAGAAACATGACTGGGTTATCTCCTGTTTTGTTGCTATTTTAAACATCAATAATTCATATTTCATTATATAATCACTCTTATTGGAACTTACTTGTGGACTAATCAAGCCTGCATACTGAGTATTTTAAAGGCTAGAGCCATGTGGAATGTGGTATATACTCCCCAGGTCTTTCAGCCACTGATAGAAGTATTCTGACCTCTGGGGGTGCATAGCTAAATTATACATGATCCTTTCATTCAAGGTTTTTGAAGGTTAACAAAGAAGACAGAGAGGTAAACAAAATGTTCAAGAGTGGGACTGAGCTCTGTGAAGAGGCACCTTCAGGGGGTGGTGGGAAGAAAAGAAGGAGCCACCTGGATCAGCTGAAATGAAGGATGAGCAGCAGATGAACAAGTGAAAAGAGTCCTTACTTAACACAAAAAGCTGCATATACTTTTCCTTTATACTAAACACATCCATTGTCATAAGTCAGCCTCATGGGAGACTAGAGCTGTAATATCCCTGCTTGCTGGTTTCATGTCCTTCAGGGAAGTCTTGACAATCACAGCACTTTTGCGGCTGATTTGCACTTCCCTCAGAGGGATTATTCCATATCACAAAATCACCTTGACATTCAGGCTTGACTCAGAGCTATTCAGGCCAAGCAAAAAAGTACTGGGGTCAGAGGCCTCTAGACCACAGTAGGAGGCAGAGGCTGGGCTCTGGCAGCTCACTCATTTGAGAATCTAAAACGCCCAAGATACCCTGGGTGGCACTAGCTCATTTTCCTCCAATATAGCTTTCTATCAGATCAGTTTTAAAACAGAGGGCCACAGAGGAAGGAGTCCAGGCACTGTGACATTCCACTGCAGAGTCTTCCCTACAGGTTAGCTAGCCATGCTAAGATAAACAAAGGTTTTAAGTTATCAGTGATTTTGCAAGTAAATAAATAAGAG